TCCAACTGTTCAAATCGATAGTCAGTTTGTTGAAACCGATCGTTGAAGGTTGCATCACGTTGTTTGTTTGCGGCATCTTCTCGTCCCGGCGACATCGCGATCGTACTGACTGTTGATAACAATTGATGTAGGGAAAGCGTACGAATGGGAAGGATAAAAGATACAAGGAGATACTCTCTCCAAAACACGGGATACTCTCCCAAAAGAAAACACGATATCTTATTTCATTCAATATTCAACTGTCTAATAACAAAGCATAAGACCCTTTAAATAAAGCTCCTAAATTAGACCCTAGCTTATTCTTCAAGCTACTAATTATTAAATAATTATAATAATAATAATAATAATAATAATAATAATAATAATAATAATAATAATAATAATAATAATAATAATAATATATCCTCATCTATCCTCATCAAGTATGCTTTCAGAACGACGATGGGTACGGACCGATGGAACGACATGTACTTCACATCATCCGGCAGAAATGGGGATTTTCACGACCCAAATGCATTCCCGGTCTCGGGCGGAGTAGCACTGCATCCATATATATGTCATCTACTTTATTTCAATACTCATTAAATCATAGAAAAAAACTTGTCGAATTTGTTTTTGCTTCATCTCTTCCTTTCGGTTTCGGTGATTCTAATTTATACAAAATTTTGCTCAAATGACTTTAAAACCGTTTGTGTATTGGGTTCCACATACTACTCTCGGTCGTGATATTCTAAAAATTATGAGGGAGAAAAAATTAATTTTGGCGCAAACTTTTGAAACTTTAAATAAAAGGATTTCTGTTTCTTCTGACATTTGGCTCGACCATTAGCTAGGTTTTTTTACATGAGAATTAATAGTCATTAAATAAATGATAGTTTTACATTACAGAAATATTTCATTGCTTATGCGGGATTTTCTAATTCTCATTCTGCTTCTAATGTTATCTGTTTAATTTTACGTGTCTTGAATAGTTATAGAATTGAAAAAAAAAAAAAAAAACTATTTCTTTTGATAATGCTAGTGCTAATATTGCATCTATGCCTGAGTTTAAGGAAATTTATCGTTCCTTATGTAAAGATTTTGTTTTTTCATATTCGGCGTATGTGTCATGTCCTTAATCTTGGTCTCCAAGTGGATTATCATGTTTTGAAGAGTCGGTCACGCCCATTAAGAATGTCGTTAATTGCTTATACCGTCGTCCACAAGAAATAAAAAATGGGGATATTTTTGTAAGGGTTAATTGCTAAATAAACATTAACCTTTTTGCGTTTGGCAATTTTGTCTCAATCTTTGGGTAATTGCAATATAATCTCGACCTTAATTTACTTGTTGCAAATTGGGGTGCACAGTGATTGATTTTAGAGATTTGTGGATCAATTTTGTGTCCAAGTCGTCCATTGACACGGGTTTTTATGTCATTCACGTGCAAGTTGACAATTTCCACGTATTTAATGTATATCCACGTGCAAAGCCGAAAATTCCACGTCAATGTAAGCTACTGGTGATAAGTCTCCTCCTAGATCTGGAGTGAACCGGTAAATATGAGTTCCGATCTGTTTGAACCGCCTTCATCGACCAGTTTTTGAAGGTCCAACCAGTTCTAGGTTTGACTTGCAATAAGTAAATTGAGGTCGAGATTATATTGCAATTATCTAAAGATTGGGATATAATTGTCAAACGCAAAAATGTTAAAGTTTATTTAGCAATTAACCCTTTTTGTAAAGAAACATGTATAACACCTAACAGATTTCAGCCGGACATTCCAACCCGTTGGAACTCAACTTATAAAATGTAAATGAAAATGTTTGCATTTTCTTATCAATTAGATGAATTTTTTAAGAGTACTCAACGTAAGGATTGTGATGTCATCGTTGTCGTCTCTGATAAGTTTTAGAAACATTTCAAGGTGCTACTAACGTATTTGGTGCTTACTATTCTATTGTTCAACTTATTGTAAGTCAATGTGTAGTCGTAATGTGAGGTTTTAGAGATATTTTTGCTAGTGATTTCAAAAAATACGATGAAGTTGTAAGAGAAATGTTAAGAAAATAGTTAAAATGTTATTTTTTTCATTCCCGGTAAATTTTGATTTGCATCTTTGTTAGTTTCGTCATCATGTGAAAATGAGTTGTTCAACCAACTTCACACATATTATGATATTAAGTATCAACTCACACTTCCCACTAATGTCCCGGCAATCATGTAAGACATAACCCATAGCAGCTCGTCGAGCAAGCAAACATTTTATTGTATGAATTGTTTACGGAAACAAAAATCGGACTGAGGGAAAATCCGTTGTCATCTTCTTCTACTTCTTCCAGATCTTCTTATGAACAATGGTGACAGACAGTGCATGGTGGAAAAACAATTTTAATCCCTACAAAAATTTTTAGATCCAAAAATGGGATTGTATACAGTGAGCTCAATCACTACCTCACGACGAGTTTGATACTTACGATTGCTCGTGAACTAGTCTAGCCATAAAATTAGACGTATTAAATTGGCGGTCAAAGATGACTCCCATTTATCATATTCCATGCTTGATAGCCAAGGAGATTTTCAATGTCGCGTCTTCAACAATAGCGGTCGAACAAGCATTCAGTGAGGGAGGATATACGCTGGACGCATGACGATCGAGGTTTACGCCAAAAAACCTGGAGGCTCAAATGCTACTGAGTGAAGGAAGAAGGCTGAAATGAAGGCACAAATGGCCATGCTAACTGCCAAAGATGATAAAGAGAAAGAGACGTCTGAATTCACTAATACTGCTAGTATTAGTGAAACTGCCAGAAATAAAGAGGACTATGACTTCGATCAGTTCAATCATGCAATCTATTTCATCAAAGTAAGTAAAGTAAGAAAATTACGATGACTTTGATTCCCAATGTAAGAAATACACAGGCAACATAATTGACATATTTCAAGTTAAAATATTATTATTTTTTAACACAAAAAATAACTTAATGGATATTTTAACTTATAATACCAATATGCCAACTAAGCCCAGACCGGAATCGGTTGAACCAACCCAGAACTGGGTTGAAGGCGGTGAACTTCTGGTTCAATAATCTGGCCGGTACATATGGTCGGGCTAGGTTCCTCCAAAACCCTGTCTGAAACTGGTGGTTTCGACTCGGTTGGCCACGTCTACCCTCAAATATTGCTTTGTATTTTAAGGAGATCTTTAAAATTTCTTTTTGGTCTATATAAATTCTTAAGCAATTTTTCATGCTTATTTGAACATAACATTCAAATTAGAGAGTTCTCGTTTAATCTTCAGAATACTATAAATATCATGAGAAACTGGTATCAAATATCATATAATGCATATGATTGTGCATATCATTGTGCATATATATATATAGCATTGTCGTTGTAGCACTACCCACATATTATTTCCATTTTAATGGTTGAGAAGACATGAGAAACAGTAAGTCTTTGAAACATAAGTTTGAGGCAAGGTATCAAATTCAAATCTAGAATCTATTTGATTTGTTATTTTGGTTGAATTTCACACAAATAGACTTCGTCTTAACCTTCAGAGTCAAGTGAAGAAATAATCCAAAATATCATTTCGAGTTATCTTAATTCATCAAAATTCAAACAAGCAACTTCCTAAATGTTCTTTCTTCATGGAATGATTATTCTTGAGCTTTCGAGCTGCAATTTCGTGTCTCCATTGAGGGGTCTCGGAAAATGTAATTGAATTTGATCGAACTTTGAATTTGGGTAATGTCAACGGTAAGTTGTAGTAAGTAGTAGTTGTAGTAGACAATGAATAGTATAATTTTTTTTTTTATTTTATTTTCTTGATATGTGCCTTGATTTGCCAAAAAAAAAAAAAGTCGTATATTAAATTGTCAAAATTAGAAAATTTAATTTGAACTGCATTTGTAATAAAAGGTTGTAATTTATTTTGCAAACTACTCTATTTAATAATAATACTTCATAGTAAAAACTAAAACAAATCTATCGTTTTTCCTTTCGCTTCGGAGCGGATACTTAGACTAGGTCAGAACGATTCTACCTCGGCAGAACCATAAAAGCGAAAGGTTCGGACTTTGTACTTTGTTCGCGCTGTTTTCTAAGATTCAAGATTACTATCCCACAAATTGGACATAGCTATTGATGTCCTACACGGTTGAATAATACATGCATCAATCAAAGTTCTATGCAGTTGATAACCAATCTTTCTTTGATTTGAAATCACACACACAAACACTAATCTAAAATATGATCTCTTTTAGAACTGTTTTGCCTGTTCCCAAAATATGATCTCTTTCACGGCAATTGTGAAGACTGGTTGTATTTTTAAAATACAAAAGTTTATTTGGTTTCTTTTATTTATGAATCTAATATGAAATACAAATAGTAATGTGAAAACGACCTCAACTGACCAATCGTACTCTCATGAAAATACATATTTTCATCATAAAATATCATATTTTTAATTACATATTACTAAATGATAGGTCATTAAGAAAAGTGCTTATTTTTGTAAGAAAAATATATATATATATACACCTACAGTTTGCCTGCCTTGTTAAATATGGCATAGGCCAGATGGTTAACCCTGCATCACTATCAACACTTCATTGTCCAGTTTAATGAGCAAAACATTAAAAGAGCACAAATGCTACTGTTTGATTGCCTAACCATTAGACATACATATTTTCTTGACAAAAATATACATCTTTGTATTTTGAAATGTCATATTTTTTTTATCACAATTTTTGAAGTAACACATCAAACCACTTGTGCCAAAAAAACCAGGAAGTCAATTAAGAGTCTAAGGCTACGTTTGGTAGACAAATAAGCTAACTTATAGCTTATTTGGTTAGCTTATAAGGTTTCGGTATTCAAATAAATCATGTTTGGTAGGACGAGCTTTTTTTAAAAGCTCGAGCTTGTTTTATAAACTTCTTTAGGTAGCTTTTCAAATAAACTAGTTGAATTTTTTATTCCAACTACTTTATACTGGTAGCTGCTAATTTAACCCCTAAAAAGTGAACAATGGATGGAATAACAAAAACCATAAGACAATCACCCTCTCTTATGTCAAACAGGTGCAACTAAAGAAATCAGGCAAAACACATCCACCAACTAGATAATTATTCCTGAAAACACCAACACAATTGATATGTCTACAGAAATTATAATTTACCATCCTTCCAGACAAAAGGTCACATGTTACCTGAAACCGAAGCTGGATAAAGCCCCGAACAGCATCTTGGCCTCAAACATCCAATGCATAAACCCTGCTAGGAGTCCAGTATAGCACTACACTAACAGTCCACGAGCAACGGTCACCATGTCTATTTTCCTAAAATCCAATAATTAACCACCTCGTCCCCAAGGATGAACGAGATCCCCAAAAGTCACTAATTTACAGTAGAAACAAATCGTACTTTCTAGTCAAAACATTAAAAGACATCAAAACGAGATAAATGTAACCCTCCAGAATTGAAAAACAACACCAGCCAGCCCTTCAAGGACAGGTCACCAACTGGTAATCCAACATATATTTTACAAAATTCTTCAATTTTGCTTGCAGCACATCTGAATTTCACCTTCTACCCGTCCAGTCCCCTCCACGTTATACAGACTTCGGTTCAACATTAGCTCCATGGCCTGTTTTCTCCACGTCCATCCCTGCTTTTGAAGGGTAAAACAAGTCATCAGGATCCAGAGGTAAGGAAGCAGTATCGAGTTCAAAAGAACCGGCCGGAACACTTTCCCTCTCTGAGCCTGTCAATTTATAGCTCGGAACACGGTGAGATAACTTGTACAATTGATTCGGTTGAACCAGAAAAGAGTCGGCCTCGTCTAGACTACTTCTCCTAAAAACGCTGAGGAAACCTGCAACTTTATCCAAGTAACATACCTTTACACCACTAACAGCATCAAAATCTGTGAGAACCTCCACAACTTCATATTTATACACTGTATGGTTTTGTGGACTTGAGCACCAGTTCAAATCCCAGTCCCTAAAAACAGCCCAGACCTCCCCTGGCCTAGGATACACGAGAAAAGAACCTCTCTTCGTTCCTTTCTCACAAATCACTTTGTGCGAAAACATATCGTTTGAATGCGCGATTTCAGTTTTCCCAAGCTTAAAAGTGCCACATCCAGCGGGTAGACCTGCCTTTATCCACTTCTTATGAGCATCGTATATAGGGTCGGGCTCCAGCCACGTGAAGCTCAATTCAAATGGAGCATGAGATACCTTCTTGACCAAGGCATGAAACCTTGGCATGCCGTCGTCTGAATCATAACAGGCCCAGATTTGATTGACCGCAAAGAGGCTCTCATCACGAAGCTTGTTGAAATCGGTAAATTCTGCATCCTCACTTTCAATTATAACGCCTGTACCATTTCCCATCCCTTCACTTTCCGCAAAACCTTTGGCCTGTTTGCTATCTTCAGGGTGAACAGTCGCATTCTGATTCACAAAGTCTGTATGCTCCTCTACAATATCCTCGGGTACTTTATTTCCTCTCGATCTCTTCGGAGGGCTAAGATAAACATCATCATCTTCAACATCACCTTCCGTGTAGGTGTAGTTGACGTTTTGCCTCGCCCGAGATGATCTCCGCACAGGGTGGACATGACGAGGACCAGAATTCAGATCATGATTGCCCTTCATACTAACATCTTCCAAATCAGAATCAGTCGATGTATCCGAACTCTCACTCGAGGATATCATTTGCTTCCTTCCCCTCTTCCTACTTTTATTCTTCTCCTTCACTTTTTCACTATTCTCCGCAAACCCGTTCACCTTCTGCCCATGTGAACCACTAACATCACGGCCATCCACATGTTTTTCCTTCACACCAACTCGAACTTTGGCAGCATTTTCCACCTGGACACCTCCAGAAGCAGGCGCTGCTTGCTGCTTCTCGGCTCTTTTGTTGGCACGCCACTGAGATGCCTCACGTGACACAGAGTTCCCCGGGCCAAAATTAGCACCCGTCTGGGTCGCTACAGGCTGGACGGGGACCCCTGTGGGTATGCTCGGACCAGTTTTTTCATATGGCATGAACTTCTTCAAACAGTTGTGACAGGTCAGCATTGTGTTCAGTATCGTTCTCGGGTGCTGGTGCTTAATACAGCAAAACGGGCAGATGGTCGTGAACGTCTCCAGCCTCACAGAGTGGCTCGGCTGGGCAGCTTGATGCTGGTTCAGGCTAGTAAATCCAGTTGGTACATTACTACCATGGACCCCATATTGCTTGTTAAACTGATAGGTTCTGTTCGCGTTCATGTGATGAGGTGGAATGTTCACAGGGCCAGGTGGTCTGCTGACAGCTCGAATCCGGCTGTCGTACACTGACTTTTTGGCAGGATCCGATAAAACCGCATTTGCCTCGACAATCAACTTGAAAGCAGCCTCAGCACCTGGGAACCGGTTTTTGTCCGGGTGGAGATTAAGGGCGAGCCTTCGGTACTGTTTTCTCACGGTAGGCTCATCAGCCAGCTTCTCAACCTGAAGGATCCCATACCAGTCCTTCTCAGCTCCTAAAATCCTCATCTGAGCCGAGCAGTGGACGTTGCAGATGCCCAGCAGCTGGGAAATGTTCTCGAGCTCTGGGTAGAGGGCCTGGGCCTTCAGGGCGATCTTGCGGGCCCCCTCGAAGTCGAGATTCTCCATCTTCTTCTCAGCGATTTGTCTGGCCCGGATTGCCTCGTCTTTGTTGCACTCCATTGGTTTTGCGCGTAGGTGTAAAGTACAGGAGTGGAATAGTGAGTTTGTTCAGCAGGTGCGATAGGGATGCTCTTCTTGTTCAAACAGAATACAATAAGAACCAAATTAATATATACTAACTATTACAAGAGATAGTTTCTCGGGGTTTCCCAAAAAAAAAAAGGAAAAAAAAAGAGACATACTTCAATGAATCATGATTTAAGCATTGTACAAACGGTAGAAGTGCTTTTCACAAAAGAGAAAAAGGCATAATATTAAAGCTTCAATTGCACTGACTTAGTATTGCACCTGTCTGAATAGCTGGTTGGCTTTGTGGTTGATGCCCCGCGGGACGTTTACCTGTTGCACAAAAAGTACATAAGAAAACCATCAAATACATGAAAAAGATAGATAAGCAAACACATATAAATAAAATAAAGTAAAGCATGCAGAATTTTCAACTCGCGGTTCTCGCAACCAAACATTCAAAAGACGAGTAAAGGAAACCGTCATTTCAATTCTCAGCAAAAACAGTGACGCTGCTCGTCACCTCCTCATATCTGGACAGAGAATATATGACATTCCCACACAAAGGGTCAGCAGAATCCAATTTTTGTTGCCAAATAACAATATTAGGAAGTCTATGATTCTAGCTCGTGATGCTGTAATCTGTATGCAGTCAAATTTTGCCACCAACTTAATTCTTTTACTACAAGCTCTGTAGTGTAGTTAACATTTTTAAAGCAAAGCAAACATCAGCTCTCATGTCCCAGCAAATACATCAAAATTTATTCAAACTTCAAATCTTTTTAGACATCAACATCCTATAAATTTGAATATATGAACAAAGAATCAAAAACTTAGTTCAATAATTGCAGATGAGATAAAATGGAGAAGACATTCACATGCAAAGTTGTCTTATAAAACAATTGACAATACATCTCAAATAGACTCCACTTACACCTTAACTCAAAGCCAATGCAACATCATCCATAGAACAAGGAACAAAATTAACAAAAAAAGGGAAATAATTAACCCAAGAAAAAAAAATCTAAAATATTTCAAGATCCCCTAAGCAACACAAGAATCCTGACCCAGTGTCAAAAAAGTCAGCATAACAAAAAAAAAAAAATCAAAATACAAAGAGCAATTGCAGGTCAATGAGGAAAAAACAAAACCCTAAAACAGGTAAAAGGAAACAATCGCAAACACATCCCAAAAAATTACAACTTCAGACACATTCAATCACCGGATCACTCGATTTCCGGCTAAAAATGAAAAAGCGCCGGACTGAATTACCAACATGCAGACAGCAGACAACCGCAGACCTGAGTGTGCGCAGAAAATTTAAGAAAAGACGAAGCTTTTTGAAAAATAACAGACAGAGAGATGGATAGAGAGAGAGGGGGTGCAGAAGAATCTAGCAAATATTTGCTGCAGCAATGGAGGGAAGAAAAATGGAGGGAAAAAGAGTAAAAGGAAAGTGAAATTTTTTTGGGGAGCGATATCGACGAAAGAAGGGACCCTGAACTCCTCTGAAATTTCAATTGCCCCAAGAAACTCTGAGGATTTTTATTTGGTAGAGGAAATGGGAAGTTTTGTTGTTTTTGAAAACCTAGGGGAGCATGGAACAATCTAGAACTTGGGCTCGGGCCTGATTTGGGCTTGGGCTTTGAATTGGGCCGGATGGGCACGTTGGCCCATTGGGCCTTGGGCCGACGGCTAAAAAGTTAAACGATAAATTTTTGCAACTCAAGTGGTACCATTACGGTAGGTAAAAAAATTATGTCGAACGTTTTCCTGCAATTGATTGACATCATTAAAAGAAACGATGATACTCTGACATTCAAGTCAACTTTATACAAGGATAGAAAAAATTTTAAAAAAAAAATTAGAGCAATAATGGAACAAAAAAAGGTTAACAAATAGAGACAATTCATACCCAAAACAAAGGAACAAACCCCAATTAGTCCATATAATTCAACATATTGAAGAAGCTAAAAAAAATAACATTGAAAGGTCATTTTTATAATAATTCAACCTATTAAATTAGGTAAAGCTCTCGCCTCTCTCTAATTTTCTCTCTCTAAAAGTTAATCTCAAACTCTAATCCTTTTCGACTTCGGTCGCCTCCTCTTCAGCGGGGCGTGTCGCGCCGCCGCGCTTCTATCACTGCCGGCAAGTGCTCCCTCTCGATCAGCCATTGATTTGGGGACCTCACGACCATGGGGATTTCGCCGTCTTTTGGTTGTCGTTGTGCCTGTGGTGGCGCCTCAAGTCTTGGTTGGGTCGGGAGGGGAGGGAAGGGGTCCTTTCCAGTTAAGCATCGGTCGGTGGTCTGCATCGAGGTAAGTTCCCCCTTTTTCCTTGGTTGTTCGTCTCCCTGGTGTTGGGGGTGGGCTCCGGCGAGTTGAGGTCTCGTGATTTGGGGTTGTGGGCCAGATTTGCTGGTGGTGGGCGATAGATTCGGGCTCGATGGTGCTCGACACCCATGGTTGTCCGTTGATCCTGGGGTTGGAAGATGGCTCCATCGGTGGGGCTGGTTGGTGGCTTCAAGGTTGTTAGATTTCGGCTTTCAGGGGGAGAAGTGTGGGATCTGCTTTGGTGTTCCGGACTATGGGTGTCAGCCTCGTGGAACTGCGGGTTTGGGGATTGGGCATTGTTAGGCCTTTGTTGCAGTTTCAGGCGGTGTTTCGGACCGGGTCTCAGTCTGTGGGTTGACGACTCTGGGTGGTTACTGGCGTTGCGGGTTGCGGTGCTGCTTGTTAGCTATAGAGGAGGGCTATAGTTTAGTTTGTGTTTTAGTTTTAGTTTTTGTGGTTTGTGTTATTATGGTGCTTTGTTTTGTGTAATGTGTTTTGTTATATCCTTTTTTGGAGGAGCCTGTTTTTCTCTTCTGGGAAGTTTGTGTTATTCTCCTGTGGGGAGCTTTTATTTTTCTTATTCGTTTGTAGTGTGCGTTATGGTATCTAGACTGCCTTGAGTAGCCCTCCTATTCTGGCTAGTGAGCCTATTGTAATTACGTGTTTTATTGAATGAATTATGCCGTTACGAAAAAAAAGGTCATTTTTATAATCACAACAATACACTATTGATTAGCACAATATAGCAAGTACAATACTCGTGTACTACATGGGTACTAGTTAATTTATATATGAGATAATTACTTTGTAGTTAAATTAGTTTAAATAACTATATTTTTTCAAATTGTTAGGTCATTTAATTTTGATTATAAATTTATTTGTATTTAATTTTATGTATAATATAGATGTCAAAATCGAAACTAATCAAAACATGATTAATGGATATATTATACTTAAAAAAAAATTAATAAATGCAATTTGATTAACTTTTAAATATATTTATAATTTAAGTTAGTAAATTTGTCATAATTTTTAAAGAGGTGAGGGGAAAAAATAAAGACTGGGAAAAAAATCATACCTTATAAACCACGTTTACAATAGAAAATGATATCAAAACATAATTAATGCTCTTAAAAATATATAGTATATGTATGGATATTCCAAACCTAGTTATTTTTTATTGGAAATAAATTAAAATTCATCTAAGCCAGATAATAAAGTTTAAAAGTTTGCCAAATAGGATTTCGAAGCATGCAAGTTTGTCACTTATGGTCACCCGATTCGAGAATCTATATATATAAAATAACAATAAGGTTAATCGATCAGCCAGCCCGAAGGCCTTAATCATGCTGAAATTTGTTGATACCTTGTTTTGACCTACCATTAAGGTCACTTAAAACACAACGAACATTAACAATGATCATCTTCATTAATATTAATAAATGCACGAATTCAATAGAGCAATAAATAATTTAAGTACCATATCTCTTCAAGTTCCTATTCACCATGCGTAACAAATTAATAAATAACTTTCCTTTGTCGCTTTTGCTCGAGCTGTCATTGCCTCGAACGTGTTGTTCCCTTACATTGCTAGTGAATGATGCCTCGCCTTTCACAATCTTCTTATGTGAACTTTTTTAGGTGACCAGCTCTGATCAATCTCTCAATCTCGTCCTTGAGGCATCTGCAACTTTTTGTTGTGTGGCTGTAGTCCTGATGCAAACGACAATATAGGTTAGATTTTGGTTGAGTTAGACATTCTCTACTCGACCTTAGCCACACCACGTTGTCTCCATCCAACCTTCTCTGGTTGGTCTCTAATATCTCCCCAAGATTCGACCTGAGTGGGGTGTACTTATAGTATCTTAGGATCTCTCGCAGGTCGAGTTCTCCATCGATCCTCTTTTTTTCCTTCTGGCCTTCCCTTTTTTGACGAGCCACTTTTTCCTTCTTCTTCTCCGGTCGAGATAACTTCTCCAATTTGGCGAATTCGACCTCCGTCTCTTCCATATTTATGTTATTGTTTCACCTTTCAAAGACCTCATTGTAGGTCATAGTCGGTTTTTCGACCAACGAGCTCCTACACGGACCAACTCAAAGACCTCTGGTGAATTCTCCAGCCTTAACCTCCTCAGTGGCCAAAGGGACCCCGAATGCCTGAGTGCGTCGACCAACAAAACTCCGCATCAACTCCCCACCTTATGATTAATAACTATAAGTGACAGGTAATTTCTTACGACCTCGCGTTGGGAAACTGATTGAGAAACATTTTCGCAGACTCCTCTAAATATTTAACTGACACTGGGATGAGCTGGTGGAACCACATGTTGCTAAAAATGTTGTGCAGCTCACAGCTTCCGAATAACCATGCATAACAACCATATTCTCGAATGACCTCAAATGTCGACCTGGATTCATAGACCCATCATACGCGATACAGAGCTCCCTAAACCTGCCTGGGAGGTCAGCATCCAAGATCCACTGAGCAAATGGATGACCTCTAGCTCTCATTGATTTCTTCCCCTCGACCAAATCTTGTAGTAGTCAAATATGCTTTTCCACCTTCTCGACCACGTGGTGAAAATGAGCCCCTCCGCTAATGCTGTTTCATACTTCGACCTCAATGTCCTTTTTTGTCGTTGTGGTGATGGTGATTGCATTTGACTTCTGTTGTTGTCTGCACCCAACTGCCACGACATTAGCTAACATATTACCTAAGCTCTACATTCATCATGGTGTCAAGATATTGACCTTGGGGCTCCCCTATGATCCTTAGTGATCCCATCGACAAGACAACAATTGGATATGACTGCGTCGTAGTTAGAACCACGACCTTCTGGTTTGAACTAACCTCTAGTCGGTTGCTCGGACCCGTCGCTGCAACATGGACCACTAGTGAACTCCTTAAGCTCATGTGCATCGGGGTCGTCGGGGTTTGAGATGGCTCGGTGAAGCCCGGCGGAGAGTCTGCTCCGAGCAGATGTTTGGTCGTCCACGCATAACTAAATGTTGGCTCTAGATTTTTTCTGGGAATCTCACTTTCCATGGTTGGATCTCGCATATGACTTTTCGAACGGAAGTCCCACACATAGCGCCAAATGATATGTAAAAGACCTCAGACTTACTCAATTCGACCTAGATTGCCTTCCTCGTCGGTTGATGACCTTCAATACCTACACAAACTCAACACCGTGGGGTTTTTCGGCGTAGGGCCTATGACGCTTGAGTCGGAATGTGAAAAAGATGATGAACAATAGTAGAGTATTATAAGTGAGTATATAGAGAGTGTAATGTTGCTATAGGCATACATCACTCTCGTATATAGGGATGTGTTACCTTGTTGTACAAGACTTCCGGAATGAGATGTCATGACTGCCCGAACTGCCTGTCCATACTGTCTGAACTGTCCCATTATGTTAGGCCACGTGTCCCTATCCACATGTCGTCCTTATCCTAATAATATTCCTTCTTATCCATTAGTCTGCCTTATTAGACGGTGTAATTGTGCGACTGACTCAAATCACTGTTAGTTACTTAGGGCTGAGCATGGGACTCGGAGAATTCCGAATCATTCCAAAAAACCGAACCGAAATCACTCCGAACCGAAAAATAACCGTTGAACATTTGACTTTCTCCGAACCGAACCGAACTGAAAAAATAAATGGTATGGTTCTGGAGATATTAAAAATATTCGTACTGAGAACCGAATCGAACCGTCCCGTACTGTACCGAACTGAAGAACCAAAATTAAGAACCGAATTATAACATTAGATGTGTTATTAATATATTTTATGTCAAGTTTGATTCTATATAATATAGTACTAAATATTAACCTTCACTTAAATTTCATGTTTAGTAATACTTGATCTACAATTGAATTTTTCTATTATAAAATTATTATTTAAATTAATATAAAAGTTTAAAGAATACTTTTGTAAGAAAAAAATATTATATTTTATTTAAATTTTAAATTTTCAATATTAGTTGCACAAATTTAGTTATAACTAAAATCTAGAGTTACTTATAAAGTTGATTTCAAAATAAAATTACTTTCGGCCTCTCTTCTTGCCTCAAAATCTCTCTTTCATCTCGTCCCCTGCCATCTCCGCCTGCGCCAGCTGTATCACCAGCATAATTGAACGCGGATCAGAGACGAACCAGCCATTAAAAAGGCTCGATGTAATTGACCTGGAGGTGATTTACAATTTTTTCGAATGATACAACCCATAAAGAAGATTGGAGGCATGATGCTTAATTCAGTGGTGTTCTTGCGATTTTGGTTGATTGTACCAGCAGAGCAGATCTTAAAGGGACCACATAGGTATTCCTTGGGGATTAGTCTTCCTATATTCTACTTGGTATCTCTGGTATTTGAGGAATTACATGCTCCATGATGCTGATTGTCATTGGCCTGAATAAATCTCTTTCTTCTTTTTCAACCCTTTCTGTGTTGTGCTTCATCTTTCCCTTTTTTCGGTGATCCCAGTCTTGCTCTTTTGAATGAGAATAAACCCAACGAACGAAGCGAAGCGCAGTGAAGGATAAAGTATTGGCGAAGTGAAGTTCAATATGCAGGGATCATCCGAGAGTGTTCAAAAACTCTCTGCCATTTTTTTTTATCGTTAAATAAATTTGTATTGATCAAAACTGGAAGTCATACAACCGAGACGACTTTCAAGTCGAAGCGGGCAGCCACATTTCGGCTCCACACTCGAAAATACCAAAACCGAGGGCTTACCCACAAACCGGGAGCTTGCTCTAGGTATAAAATCCAATAAAATCAACAAGAACGTCGGCAGGGACGCGCGCGTGATGTTTCCTGGGTAGCGCCGCTAGGCAACGTTAGCGGCGCTAATGCAACGTGTCGTTTTGTGGGTTGACAGAAGCTAGCGGCACTAGCTTGCAGGTAGCGGCGCTACGTCGATAGAAGCGCCGCTAGCAAGGTAGCGCTGGAGGCCACCATTCCTCTGTTGGGTCCGAAGTGGCGCTAGTAGCATGGATGCGGCGCTAGGGTCACCTTAGCGGCGCTAAGGCCCCTTAGCATCGCTAAGCCTGGACAACAGAAAAAAATTTCCAGCAATCCTTTGGTTTTGCTCTTCCAAGTGCAAAGGCTCTTATCCTCAACCGATCCAAGCACGTCACATTTTACACATCAAGACCAAGACATCGACTTTCAAATTCGGCAAGCACTCTCGGGTAGGTGGCAAATATAGTACGATAAACATGCGTTTTTACCTTGCGAATCGCGAGGCTTTGAGGTTGGTTTTCTCCTTCAAAGATCAAGCGATTCCGGACATTCAATATAAAGTATACGGTAGCCGCTAGCGCCGCTTTTTTAGAGACACTACTCATAGTATAGCTACCGAGGACTCTTTGCGCATGTGTGTGGACTATCGTGCACTGAACAAAGTTAGAGTGAAGACCAAGTATCTTGTCCCTTTGGTAGCAGATCTCTTCGACCCTCTCTCTTCGTAACAGTAGTTTCGCCTCAGTAGCTTCGTAGCCCACTGTAGCTTTTATTGTATCTAGTTGTGAAAAGAAAACGTGGAGGCGACAAAGGAAAAAAAGGGAGAGGAGGAAAGGGGAAAGGCACGAGAAAAAGTAAGGTTGGCCCGGATACTGGAGTTGCCAAAGGTGGGCATCTAAAGGGGGATAATGGGCTACGTAAGGATACTATAATGCAAGATGTTAGAGGAGAGCAAAGTGAGTCTCGACTGAAAGGTACAAACGAAGCGAAGCGCAGTGAAGTCCTGGTTACATTGACCTTGTTAATGTAATCTTTAGAAGTTCAGTAAAAAACCCTCTACCGTACCCTTCAACGTTACGCAGCTCATCTCCTTCGGACCCGGAATGGACACTTCGCCTAAAGGTGAAAAACAAAGTGATTCACTGGCATGACTCTTCTCTCTTCTTTTATGCGATGATCGACTTTCCTGATGTCGGAAGAGGTCGAGAAGTCAACTCCCTGACCTTCACTGGTAGTTCAGCAAGCAAGCAAAGTTTGGTGTACCGTGGACCACTCTTTCTGGTATAGAATGAAAACCTTCTCCTTCTTAGTCCCAATTAAGTAGGGTCCGTACATACACGATTTCAAGGTCAAATCAAATCACCAAAACCCAACAAATGAAGCGAAGCGAAGTGAAGTCAAAGACGCGAAAATGTTGGATACGTACTAAGGGTCAGCAGCATGTGAGTTATGCAGTGAGACAAAGTCGACCATACATGTGTTGCGAGATTGCTCGGAGGTTGTGGCAGAAGCCTACCTACTATAACCGGCTCATCTGTTTACCCGAGTTTTATTCATGACAAAATTTAGAAAATTTATAATTATTTAATAAAAAATACAATAATTAGTAAAAATAAATTAACTATTAAACTATATTATTATAAAATTACAAAAATAGTTGTATTCAACTTACAAGTGGGAAGTTAGATGGAGGGTCACCCAATTGGAGGGGGAGATCATAAGCGTCTACACCGTAAAATTCCTTTTCGACGGAATGAAGAAGACATTGATATAACGATTATTTTGGCAAATTTTTAATTATTTAATAAAAATATAGTAAAATGTGTTAATTATAATATTATATCGTTATAACATTATAAAAAAATATTTTGGTTTAATGCATAATTATAATTAACATTTTTTTTATTGATAATATATTTTTTTTGATAATTTTATAATTATTTAATAAAAAATATAGTAAAAAAATGTTTATTCATAGATCATAGAAGGGATGGCGATTTTATTTATTCTTTTTCCTCCGAAGAGAAGGGATTAGGGAATCCTAATTTATTCATCTATTTATGCATCGTGAAATCATTAATTGATCTGACAATCGACCAAACTGATTATTTCTTTGTTAGCTTAGATTTTTGTAGGGAGTTGGTTGAGCTATGAGGCGACCTCTTTTCAAGTTTGATTTCCCGCCGTCAAAAGTGCTCCGGCCACCGCCTCCTCGACGGCCATGTAAAGAAGATTGGAATACGGCGGTTGAACCCTTCAAACTCCTGCTTCCGCCCGTTCACCAGGTTAGGTTAGGTTAGGTTACATATATGTTGAATCTCTGTTCGTTCTATTAATTTGTAATATTTCCATATAGATTCTTAGGTTAGAAGTTATCCCATTTTTGTGTTTTTTCCTCTGTTGATGAAACATGGGTTGGGAAGTATAATGTGCAGACAACCCGCACTCTCTACCCGAGGAGGTGTAAAAGAAAGAGGGTAACAACAGACATAGAATCTCTACCTGATGAGCTGTTGTTTGAAGTCCTCATGCGCATCCCGCGCCAGCAAGATATTTACGAGGCAAGGCTTGTTTGCCGCATATGGTACCATATAATTCACACCCGTAATTTCATGTCCGCCTACTTACACCACTCCCCTTATGGTCTCCTATTCAAATCCAAGTGTTCGGAATCACTTTTGGTCCTCCCTCAAAGAGGAAGGATAGGGATCGAGATGACCCAGCTGAGGTACAACCGTAGGTGTTTGGTCTTTAGTAGTTGTAATGGATTGTGGTTAGAGAAAAATCTGCAAACCAAAAATGACCTTTACGTCACAAATCCTACAACGGGGCAAATTGTTCTTCTCCCTCCATGTGTTATTCATGTTGCTGATGCAAATCATGCAATGGCGTACGCACCGGCTTCCATGGAGTATAAAGTGGTTATATTCTATCGCGCGGTTTGTCATATATTAACCGCTGAGTTGATAAAACATGGAGGGACGTTGATTTGGGACTCATATCATCGGAGAAGGCAAGTAGGTCATTTTGCAACCCTCCGTTGGTTACTGAAGGTTTCATTCATTGGAAACATCCCCATAGCCACCATCTCTTGACTCTTAATGTGGAGACCGAAACTATTACAGAGACTCCCGCCCCTTTCCCACAGCTACAAGACTTTCCTGTTCATGCGAGTCGAACCGACATTTACTTATCAACCGGAAAATATCTGTCGTTATTGCGTCCTTACGGGGAGTGCTCGTGGCAGGTCTGGGAGATGAGTCGACCCGAAACAGGGGAATGGAGAAAGAAGGCCCATTTTTCCTTGGAGGATAACGAGGAAAGATTCAAGCAATTAGGTTTTGCACCCAAAGAATTTTTGTTCCCGGTAGGCTGGGTCAAGTACCCAGAGTTGTTGGCCATGAGAACTTCCTCGAAAATGACTGCATTATTGCTATACAATCTTGTCACGCAAGAAATCAATGAAATCGGGTTACCTTTCTACTATTTTCAATACAATTTTGTGGTATATAAGAGTAGTTTGGAGTGGTTGGATGCAGTCAAGCCTCCTCTCCCTCCATCTTCTCCATTGCCTTCCTCCACTGGTATCTAAATGTTTATTATACTCTGTGTGTGTCATGCCTTTTAATTGTGGTCCAATATCTATTATGGGGGAATTTATGCTATGATTTTTTTTTTTTTACTGTTGGATTATGATAAAAAGTTGCAACTCTTCTTTTGTTTGTTTTGGATTCAGATTTGGAATAAAAATTAAAAAAATATGTAAGATGGCGAGCCACCCAATTGGAAGGGAGGTCATAAGCATCTATACCGTAAAATCAATTTTCGGCTGAATGAAAAAGACATTTATGGTATAATTAAAATAACATAAATAGTTTTATTCATGACACAATTATAGCTAACATTTTATTCATGACATAATTTTTTTTAAATTTATAATTATTTAATAAAAAATACAGTAATTAGTAAAAACAAATTAACAATAAAATTAAATTATTATAAAATTACAAAAACAGTTATATTCAACTTACAATTGGCAGGCCAGATGGGGGGCCACCCAATTGAAGAGGGAGGTCATAAGCGTCTATACCGTAAAATTAATTTTCAACGGAATGAAAAAGACATATATGGTATAATTTATAAAATTACAAAAATAGTTTTATTTATGACATAATTATATCTAACATTTTTATTCGTGACATATTATTTTTTGTACTTCATAATTATTTAATAAAAAATAAATAATTATTAAAAATAAATTAGCTGTAAAATTAAATTATTATAAAATTACAAAAATAGTTTTTTTCATGGCATAATTATAGTTAACACTTTTTACTATATTTTTTATTAAATAATAATAAAATTATAAAAACAATTATGCATGAATAAAAAAATGTTGCCGCAGCACCGAGAGAGAAAGAACCGTTGCCGCAGCCAAGCACCGGTACAGCTGCCGAGAATCTGAGAACTCCCAGCCCCATCCGGAACCAAGCTTAGTCCTCCCGAGAGCATACGGGGCTGAGACTTGTCCACCCGAGGCCTACCAGGCAACCGAAACCGAAGTTGAACAGCCTAGAGCTTTCAGCAGCATGCCGCTCCCAGCAACACCTTCATAACCGAACAGCAATCCCTCCACCCGAGCTCTCCTTTCCTCAATTTTGGAAATACCTTAGAGAGGTATTTTGGTTTAGTCTCTTTAACACCCTTTTTGGCCAAAATTATGTGACATCTTTATGTTTTAGTCAAGTTTATTTTTATTTATTTTTTATTTTTTTTATTTTTTTTATGTGGTTAAAAACGCATCCGTAAGACTTGTAGAATTTGAAGAAATTTGAGTTGCTTGTTGTTTGTGCTTTTGGTGCCGTGAGTTGCCTTGCTTTGGCTGAGCTTTTTCATGCTTTATCATGCTGATTAAAGTGTTATTTTCATGCTGAGATGGTGCTTAAATATCAGTTTCAAAAGCATGCTCAGTTTGAGTGAAATTGAAAAGGAAAAAGGAAGTTGATTCATGTGTTATTTTGCCTTGTTTGATTGAGGGACTTGAAGGCTGTTGTCATGTGCCTCTTTATGCTGAAATGTGGTGACATTGTGCTGCGTTATTGCTTAGTTTCAATGTTTATTGAAGAGGTTATAAGTATGTTAGAATTCTCAAAGTTTTAGGCAAGAGAAAGCATGCTGAGTGTTGTTGTTTTGCTCGGTTTTATTAAGTTGTTGGAGCTGCTGATATAAGATTATTATTTGCTGAAAGTATGAGTTTTAAAGAGCTTTTATATGCTGAAAATTTTGTGTGGAATATCAGGTTTTATTTTCAATATATTGCCTTATTGGTTTGCTTAGGCTTGGTTAAGTTGTGAAGACAAAGAGAGCATGATATGCCTTGTTCTATGGCCTTATTTTCGAGGATGCTTCTGCGTTGTGTATTGCTGAATTTCACTGTCATTATGCTCTTTTTTCAGAGGTTTAGAAATTTTTTGAAAAGCCTTAAAGAGGTTGTTATCAATGTTTTATTTATTTATTTATTTTTTTTTTTTAGCAAAGGAGAAAGCAAGTTAATCTATGGTGGCCTTGTTTTTGTTATATATGTTCGAGCCTTGTTTTTGGTGTATCTTCATGCCGAAAGTTGAGCTTTGAAGAGTTATTTTCAGCTTTGAATTTTTTCTATGTATCAGCATGCTTAAGTGTGGAGGAAAGAGAGCTTAAGTATGGGATGTTTATGTGTTGTTTCATTTTGAAAATTTGTGAGTTTGTTTCCATGAGCTCCTGAACCTGAATTGAGTGACTTCTATAATGCTGTTTATATGTGTATATTAGAGCTATTATTTCAGTTTAGAAGTTGTCAAAAGCAGGCTTATCTCTATCAAGGTTGAAGGGAATTTTAGCATTATATGGCTCGGTTTCTAAATTCGGTTTTGAGCCTTGTTTTAAGCTGTGTGTTGGTTGATTTGTTACTGCCAATATGACCAGTTTAAGAGGCTAAAGTCTCAGTCTTTAAGTGTTAGAAACCATGCTTAAGTTTAGAGAAGAGTGTATATATTTGTTGTTCTTTTGCCTTGATTCTTGGACCGTGTTTTTGGACAATTTTTGCTGAACCTTTATGCATGTTTTATGTGTTGTTTTGTGTGTATTATTTGTGAGCTTAGTATCAGCTTTAATTAGCCCAGAAGTTAGCCGGAAAGGGTTGCCGGCGACCGGCGAGAAAGGCCAGAAAAAACCCTGGCCCGCGAACCCAAGCTGGGTAGCCATAGTCAGGTCGAACCAAGCGGTCTGCTAGCCGAACCGGGTCTGACCGGGCATGGACTCGTTGGTTCGAGCCAGTCTAAAAAACTTTGATTTTCGAGCCTAAATTAGAATTATCCGAGAATTCTAGACGAGTCTAGATAAGTTGAGAAGTTTTAGAAGTTTTATTTGTTTTAATTACCTGCCCTATATGTTTTATCTGACTTATGTGTTTATTTGTCCGTGCTTGTCCTTGCCTGTCTTTGCCTGTTTGTTGCCGCCCATGATAATAAGGTAAAAATTATTAAACTGTAGATTAAAGAGGAGTCGAGCCCTCATCTAGACGCATATTCATACATTCTAGTAGCTCAGTTGAGATTTCTATGGCATGTTCTAATTTTTAATAATCTCAATGTATTTTATATGAGCATTGCATGAGAGTGGGCATAAGAGCTTATGTTGGCTAGTGGAGCAAGTCCACCTGTGTGCACATGAGCCAAACGGTAGCAACAACCGTTCAGACCAGTTAATTCATCTATATACTGAAATTATTGGTACCTGTTCTTATTACGAATAATTGCATAGTATAGTAGATTACCATGGTGAGCACGTTGATTTTGCTCACCACAACAACTACCATTTTCAAGTTAAGCAGTTGGTGCCGGACTCGAGGGGCACCGATTGTCATTGTTTAGAATTACAGTTTATGCTTATGCTAAAACAGTTTTCCGAACATGTCATTATTTAGATGTTTTGAACTTGTTTGGATTGTTTCAGATTCAGTATTTCACTTCAATATATGGATTAAGTACATATGCTCTGCTTTGTTTAAATTGAATTGAACATAAACAAGTTTCGTGAATCAGATTTCCGAAGAACCTAAAGCGCAAGGCTTAAGTTAAGATCAGACATTTAAGAAAGCATCATTTTTAGTAAGTACCTGTAACACCCCGCTTTTCGTACATTGAATTTCTAGAATAAATTTTTCTTTTTGTAAAACATTTGAAAACTTTATTTGGAACTCAGGGTGCTACTCACTTTGAAAAACTTTTCATACGTGATCTTTTCATAAACATTAAAACTTTTCATGAAAATAAACATTTCATACATGAACATTCATTGCGTTGCCTTGAGAACTTACACTTTAACTTGACCTTGCATGAACCATGACTTATTTCATAAAATAAACTTTGCATAGCGGAAGCTTTTAAAACATAAATGTCATAAACATAAAAACATGTGATCACCCTCGCCATCGCTCCTTTGTCGGCTCGCAAAAAACCTGGGTGTGGAAAACAAATGGGGTGAGCATTTCCACTTACGCCATGAGAGATCCCTCTACGTTATCATCTTAATCAACTATAAAGCATGAAATCGTTTTCGTATACTCCACATAATCATGAGCTCCCGACGAGTGGTGACCCACAAGTCGAAAGACTTTCTTGCTTCTACAACACTATTAGACAACTAAACACTAGAGCCTTTGCATGCAGGTGATTACATTCTTGTCACACTCCCACCACTCATCAAACTTCTTATACCACTTTATGGTGGTGGAAGAACAATGCCTCTCGCAGATGGCACAGCCAGATAGGCTTGATGAGAGTACCTTTCAATAGGTTGAAGGAAGATAGTCTTTCACTAGGCTCCGTACAGTCTTATCGACGGGGACAACCGTTCGAAGAGTGCACCAACGAAGGTTACACATAATCACTTACACCCTCTAACCCTAGCACTTAGCTACCCTCTAGAGTTATAGTTCGTGAACCTTGGTACTACAACAAACGACTTGCTCGAATGTTGGAACATTGTATAAACATGGGTACTATGCAAGCTACTTAACTTCATTCATAGCATAGATAATTAAAGAGGATTAATAAAGTAGAACTTCCCCCACCTTTTCAGTAGAATGCTCGGCTTAGACTTGAACTTGACTTTGAACGAAACTCGAGGGCTCGACTCCTCGTAAAACTACATTCATTGGGGTCATGTCCTAGTGTCTTAACATGGAACTTATTCTTATACTTATACTTATAATCAATAAATATGCTTTAGAAAAACTTTGCTCGCTTGGCTTCGCCGTGTTTGCATTCTTTTGAAAACATTCTTATTTTAAAGCATTTGGACAATTGAACTCTTAGCTTGCTTGCTTACGCATACTATTCTAATCATCTAAGGTTCATCATGATCTCACTCAATGCTTTACAGCTCATACATGTCACATAAGCATGCTTTAAAAACATAAGACTCATTTAAGCAATTACACCAAATCCGTTGACAAAACTTAACACGTGCTGCATTTTTAAAACGAGCATATCTTTCAACATACAAATCGCATTAACATGATTCAAGTCTCATATTGCTCCTAAGACATGGTACTACAACTTTCATTTAGCACTCAAAAGCAAATAAGGTCATATACATGGTCCAAAACCAGCAAACATTCAAAGCTAAAACGCTGTCCAGAAATTTAAAATAAATTCATGCGCAGTTTTACAAAAACAGGTATCGACTACTCGGACCATATTTTTGCTTGATTCCAGAACCACATGACAAATAACACATAGAAGTCCAATTTCAATGAAGACGTCAGGTTCATTTGAGCACATTATCACATCATAAACACACAAAACATCTAAACCTAACTGCAGCCGGATTTAAGAAAAACTGCTCGCGCAGTCAATTTTGTAAATCATAACTTATTCGTTTTAAGTCGAAATTGCACTATTCCAAAGCTCACGTAAACACAACTGAACGAACTACATATCATATGAAGAACTCGAAAACCAAAAACACAATCTCAGGGGCCTAAACTGCTCCCGAACAGACAACACGTAAACAGCAATTACACATGAAATCATACCAATTTTCCGAACTTCTTAACATGTCGAAAGCAACATATAATCGATGATTTTAGGCACGTTTATCACACAATAAGACACGATTATGAACACATAAATTGACAACAATAAACCCTATTCACATATCATTAAAACAATTCTTTCGGAAGCCCGGCAAGGCTCCGACCAATTCCAACTCAACAATAACTCAACAATTATTTACTCGGACCTTATGCAAGCATACGAGATTCGATTATCAAGTCTTAACACATTAATAATTCTTACTTAACTTAATCGAATTCAAATTAGCAGTCCATAAGAGGTCAAGGCGTTAGGGTTTTACCGCTCGGGAAAAGGCTAACGGTTCGAAAGGGCTCGAATGAAAGCTCGGTGGACTTGGCCGTGTACGTGAAGGGCTGTCCGTGGCTGAGGTACGATGGCTGCTCACGGTGAAGCTTGTGGCTCACGGCGGAGAAGGTGACTTGCTGCTTGCGTCGGGGCTCGCCGGCTACGTTTAACGCTCCGACGGAACTCGGCGGGACTCAACGACTACGATGGGT